TGTAGCAAGGTGAGCGTCAGACTCTTCTCTCAAGTAACAAGTGATAGGACAAGAGGAAATGGCCTCAAGTTGCACCAAGGGAGGTTTAGTTTGGATATTAGGAAAAAATTATTTACTGAAAGGGTTATCAAGCACTGGAACAGACTGCCCAGGGAAGAGGTTGAGTCACCATCCCTGGAGTTATTTAAAAGATCTGTAGATGTGGTGCTTAGGAACATGGTTTAGTGGGCGTGGTGGTGTTGGGTTGACAGTTGGATTTGATGATCTTAGAGGTCTTTTTCAACCTTAATGATTCTATGATTCTATTCACAGTGCTGCACTGTACACCAGGAGGCTCATCATGCACTTGGGGATTTCCATGCACCCCTTCTGCCATCACGTTTTAGAAAAAGTTAAGAACTGCTATACTTACGTCATTATCTGGGTCTCTATACCAGGGTCTACAAGGGATCCATCCACAAAAAGTGGTGTTGATGTGAAGCTGTATTTACTCCAGGATCTTCCCTCATCAAAACTCACCCTGGGATAGAAGCAGACAAGATTTATACACATAAAAACAGTTACTCTAGAGTAACTGCAGCAATTAAATGTTGGCTACTTTCTGCAAGCTCCAGCAGCTAGATTTATAAGACAAGCACCAATCTTTTATAAGACTAGCACCATTCCCCAGCCCATTAATTCATGCACTTGGTGTACTTTGAAAGATCAAAGCCTTGGAGAGTATAAACACCAGCAATAAGAACACGGATATATTTGATCCAGTTGTACATCAGACTTCAAGGGATCAAGGGGCATTTCCAAGTCCTGTTTCTGGATCTACAATAACATGTGGCATGAGGTAGCACTCAAAGCATAAGCAGCCCTGGCCTGAATGCATGAAAATTACTGTCAACACCACAGGATGTTTCAACTCATGCATGTGTCAAAGCCATATGGCATTAGCTGAAATGTCTCTAGCCTTATTAATACTTCTACTGCAAAGGCATGTCACCTCAGAGGTGGTCTCCATTCTAGAGAGAGGTGGAAGAAGGAGGAAAAACGGAGCCACAGTTAGTGATTAGTCTGTGTGCTCTTTGCCTGTTATAATTCTAAAACAAAGTTGTATGCTGGTTAAAATTAAAGCATTTCTCTTCTTAGAGGCTGAGAGTGTTCACACTGTCAGCAACAAGCCAGGGTAAGTCAGTGGCTTTTGATCATCTGTCCCTACCCACAACCACTGTGTGCCTTACTTTCTGTTTTTATCAAAGAGCACATGTATCCTTGGTTGAATTAGAGTTAGTACAACAGGCTTTTAGATTAGCAAAGAAGGGTTAGCAAACCCTGCTCCCAGCTACACCCAGCAACCTCTCTGTCTCTGACAACTACAAAGGAGTAGGTGAACTAACTGACCACACCAGTAGACAGACTAGGTCAGGACTATGGTGGCCTATGCCTTAGTGTCTCTTCCCAGCCTCCCTCACAGCCTCCCCTCACCCCATCCATGGCCTAGGAGCCCCACTGACACCACAGGAGTGTGCCAGGCTCCAGCTCTGCCAAAGCCCTGCCCAGTCATGGGCCTGACATGCAGGCTGATGCCCCAGCCTGGCTTCAGCCTGCCCCTGTGGCCAGTGAGGTGCCTGATGCCCAGAGCTGGGGCTGCCTCACTCCTGGCTGGGGTGGTGGAATGGAACCTGGCTACGAAATCCTGCCCTGCTGTCCCAGGGACCTCGGCCAGCTCCTGGCTTCCCAGCCCTTGGGGATTTACTGGCCCTGACATCACCCTGACAGTCTCTGCCCACACTAGTGCAGACAACAGGTGAAGAAGGGTGTGCACACCCAGCTGCTACTGCCACAGGAGAGACAAGCAACCTACAGACTGTCAGCATCCAGTTCCCAAAGCTGCTGCTCATGAATGGTTCTGAAAGCAACCAAGTTTCTCTCTGCCCCTAGACTTGCCGCACAGCCTCTCCTGCACAATTTCTGCCCAGAATTTCAGCTCCGAATTATACCAGCAAAGGAAGAACAAACAGAGAAGGACAAAGGTTTACTGGCTGTAAAATTATTTGATCCTTTCCCAGCGGGGTCATTAGAGAGTCGTCTGTAATTCTGTGAGGTACCTGGGCTGTGAAAACTGTCAGATTACTCTCAATGGACGTTACCAAAGGGACAAAAATGACTATTCTTTGAATAGCAGGAAACACTTCTCATTTTAAAGTGAGTGTAAAAAAGAAGTTTGCCTTATTTTCCAGGTGAGGAAAGTTTGAGGTAGGATGCACATGTGTGTGTGTGTGCATGTCCATCTGAGCACCTGGATTTGTCTAAGAGGGTCTTTCTGGAAATTGAATCCTCCCCACTCCAAGCAGGTAGCATCAGGGACACTATCTGAGATGCCACCAAAGGACCAGGAGGCTAGTGTAATGTGTATTACAAACAATGGGTTACACCAACCTCAGATTTCTAGTGTGGAAAGCCGAGGCTTGCAATCACCATTCCCTAAGTACCTGCTTCTCACAGCACCTAGCAAAACATTTTCACCTGACTCACAATGCACATCTGCCAGAATAGGAGGCTGACTATAGACCAAAGACAGAAAGCTGTAAGTAAAACAGCATACAAAAAGCTTATCTGCCCCAAATCTATTTATTTAAATGTATGTATTTTCCCATACACCTGTGCATTTGTATGCTGTTCTGCTTACACACTTATCTACCTAAATTGTATTTCAGTTTCTGAAGAACAGCATGTTTCATTAGCTTAGCTAAAGTTCTCTAGGCTTTTCAATTATCCACCCTTCTTTTCTCCGGGATGAAACTTATTGTACAATGTCTCAGCCTGGAAACTAATAGATATACATGTAGCCTTTAATCTATTCTACTCCTGCCCATAAAACAAGTGCTTACTGAGGCAATATGAAGCAAACTCCAAAGTCCCTAAGGGTACAATTTTGGAGGAAACCTGTTGGAGCTTATTGATAACAACTCTAAATCACTACTCATTTAATAGTGTGGGTAGGACGATTATAGTACTGCACACACCATTTCATGAGAGTTAGTGGAAAGGAAGAACATCTGAAAGGAACCTCTGAAGAGCAGACAAAGGTGAACTGGGCTCTCAGCTCCTATAGAAAGTCAGCCATAGGACCAAAAGTCTCCTGACATCTAAGTACAAGCATTTGTACATAATGTGCTTTTCACATCCAAAGAGCCTTCACAAGGTAAGACACAATTAAAACAGTTGCACCTGGGTTGAAGAACACAGTCACAGATGGTTAATACACGACTTACAGCTCTTCCAGTAAGTGGTTCACCTTTCACTCTTCCACAACTCAATTTGCCACAGCCTGGTGTACCTACTGCTGGTAACACCTACACTTGGCTAACACATGCTTCTGCTTTGGCTCTTACTTAGTTTAGTCTGAAGATCTGGACGTGGTCTTAATGTCCTTTTTCCTGAGGACACTTCAGATATAGTCATGACTACTGAGTTACCTATCAGAAGCAAATGTTTCTAGTCACACAACACATCCTAACCTCTATATGTCCAGTTATGGAGGCTGTTGGCAAGAGGATGCTGGCCTAGATTAACCCAGGGTCCTGACTCAGAATGGCTACATATATTATGTTATGACTGCAACAAGTCTTCTTATGATAAAACAAACAACCTGTTTCCTGAACACTAGAAAGCAAGATGAAGATCATAACCCTCATTTTGCATATAATGACTTGCTTGTAATCCCCCACAAAGGCACAGACCTCTTAGAGAACCCTTGGTCCCTCTCTTAAGATGATCCTGGAAAAACTGCAAAGCCTTAACAATACAAGCCAATACATCCTGTGGCTAACGATCCCGTATCACACCAAAACTACAGCAGTCATTTCTTTAGCTCAGATGGTAGAGAAGTGTGCTCCAATTCAACCTATTTGAACTTTAATAAAAATCTGTGTTGCAGACATCCCAGAGTTATCTGTCAGGTCAGGAATATAAAGTCCAGAAGATTTTAACCTTGAAAAAGTAGTCACTAGTGTTCTTAAGGTACATCTCTGGAACATTAGTTTGTGATGGGTAAAGACAGCCTGTCTTGAGGTCTCCAGTTTCTGAATGACTGTAATATAACTGAAGGATTTTGTACAATAATGACTCAGGAAAAGGAGACCTTAACACCTCATCACTGCTGCCAAACACCATTGCTTTCTTTTTCTATTTGACTGAAGGCCACATTTCCTGTTCTGCATGAAAAGCATGAGATAGACACCGTGCTTAGCACCATCAAGCTGAGGGACAACTCAGTCTTGCAGACAGGAACACAAAACTTGTATCTGAAGGCTGTTTCTAACTAATTCACTTCTAAACAACATTAGAAGATGGGTAGGTCAGACCATTAGCCGTGCCCCTATTTCACTCAAGACCAGAGACTGAAGGTGATGTTAATACACACATTTTCTGTAAACAAGGTTAGTTTTGAATTTCAAAATGCCTCTCTCCAGTGCTTAGCTGGTGCAGGAATGAGAGGGGCAAAGGCTAAGGAGAGGACAATTTTGAGCAGTATCTTTATTGCTTAGACTGTTATAAACCATTTATAGCAAAACAGTATCTTCAACTGGGAAATCATTTTGCCCTGTTCCACCTCCAACTCTATTCAGTCGCCACCACTGTATCTCTGGAAATTGATGTCAGAATCCTGTAAGAGACAGCAATGTATCTCTATTGTCCTTACCAATACCTACTGCCCTCTCCTCTCCCTCCTTTCATCTGTATCACCAGTCTAATACCAAATTCTGTAAACAAAAAGCAGAAGAGAGGGAAACATCCTCTCAGAAATACATGAAGCACAAAGGATGACATCTTAATCAGTATAGATGTGTCTGTGGGAAAGAAACCCCACCTGAAGTCTCATAGTACATGACCAGTGCAAAGAGTATTTCATATATGTATGTGGTTATGTATATAGCCGTTATGTTCATGAAATGGTACAATAATCATGGTATTCAGCAACAAAACCAAAATGATGGTAAAACACAGATAAGAAATATCTAATTTGCTCATTTTGTAGACACTAGCAGATGTTGCCCTGGTGATACAAGAGATATTAGCACCACTGTCAGCTTATCCCCATCAGGATATTTTCTCAAAGTAACAAGTTTCCTTACCACATGTGCCGGATGGGTACTGACGTGTGTTTCATGGCCACTAGTGTCCCTCCCCAGTCCAGGAACCACACATTATATTCCTCCTCGAAGATCTGCAAACAAATCAGGTACAGCATGAGTGCTCCACTCCACTGGGAAGGGAAGATTCAGGAGAACAACAGCAAAATGCTCCATGCTTTCCTTTGCTCTGCAAAACATACCTGTCTCCAGGAATTTCCACCATCAGAAGAGATGAACACACCAACATCAGTGTAGGAAAGCTCAGAGCCAACATTGCCTGCAACACAAGCAATTGTCAGATATTCTTGTATGGATGAACACAGAACCACATTTTTCCAGGAAATCTAAAGTACTTGGCCTGACCACTGCTTCTTTGCTTTTCTTGATTCTATTCTCATCTAAAAACAACACTATGGTCAGGTGGCAAGATTCATTTACAAGAGCTGTGCCATTTGAAAATTGACACTGGGGAGAAACAGTATTATCAGCTTATTTTCCCAACAGGTAGTATTGGCCATAACTACAAGCCACTAAAGGCAGGTGTATTCTAGCCAAAGACCTACATATTTTAAAAACCGCATATGAAACCACACACCCATTTGGTGCACACAAATCATCAGAATCACACCACAAGCACCAGGCTTACTAAACAATGAAGGTCTGTTCTAAATTAATTTGTTCTCACTTCCTCACTTCCCGAAACACCCAGTGGCTTGGGAAAAAGCTACCACAGTCATCCAGGAACTGTTTTTCATCTAGTCTGTCAACAGTACCTTCAATCAGTGCTAGGTGGGATTCTGGTGGTATGAATGTCTGTCCTACAGGATGCAAGCAGACGTAACTCTGACAGATACTCCACTGGAAGGTCTCCCAACGATAATGGCCCATAGCCACCATATTGTGGTCAAACCCATGACTTCCGTATTCAAATCTCATTAATTCTTTGCCCAGTGAGCCACTCGTATACCTTCCAAAAGAGGCTGTTTTTAAAGCAGGTGTAATTTCCATGGAATGAAACGAGAACTAATATTTTTTCTTCAAAAACAGCAAAGGGAGAGGTGGTACTCTTACACATCTGTAGTATCAACAAAGCATAATAAAAACACACTAATGAAAATGTTAATTGAATTTCTGACATTTAATGCTGGGAAATGGGAAAATAAAACCCAGATGTGGATTGATAAACTCCTGTCACCATCATGGAAACCAACTAGCCACATTGTTGTGACAACATTGTTTCAAAAAATGAAATTTCTGGCTCAGGGAGGCAGGACAATTCAAGAAAGCATTTTCCATCAGTGCTCAGGATGTAGGAAATATCACACTGTCCATCTACCTAATCTTATTCCCTGACACCAGCAAGAATGACCAACTGCTTTAGATGAAGATACAAGAAAAACCTGCTGTGGGCAACCATATAGAAGGACAGTCTACAGGGACATCCAGGTTCACCAGTATAAATCTACTGCCTCAATCCAAAGGTCTGTCTAACCCAGTGTCTTATCACAAGTGGAAGTCCTCAAGAATTAGAAACTAACTTAAAGGTAGCACTGTAAGCTTTGTATCATTGTATTTTAGATATCAAAACTGGAAAACCAACTTTCCAAGCAGGGATTTCCAAACTGTAGCAAGGAAAGAGAGTAAAAAGGTGAGATTCTTTTAATATCACTTCTATCTGTTTTTCTGTGCAAATCTGTTTCATTATTTTCTTCATTCACTTCATCTAGTTTCTTTCAGCTACATAGATCCAAACCCCACCAAATGTAACTAACTTCCAAACAAGTCAAGATGATTTGGCAGCTGTACAATTAGATACTAAAACATAATTCTTCCCTTTGCAAGAATCTAATCTCTGCCCTCACATCAAGAGCCTGAGTTTCCCATCACTGCTGGAAGTGTACTACTGTAAATCAAAGAGTAAGACACAGAGAGTTGAGCAGCCAATGCCTGTGAGAATAAGTTGCAATCCTTACCCTGGAACACATTTGCCAACATGGTGAGACATTCTTGTTGTTGTGAAACTGGTTAGTGGAAACAGATGTGTATATTCCCAACAGGTTAAGCTTTTTATTGTACAAAGCAGTAAGGCAGAAGTTATATTCTGTCTTTTAAAGGTTAATTGTTAGACTGGGAAAGCATTCATCCCATGCACTGGCAGCTGCAGAAGAACCTCATTTACTAACAATTTAGATCAATGCCTAGAATCACACTGTCCTGATGCCTCTATTTGCTTCCTAAAAGGTTAAAGAAAAAAGGCTCTGCAATCACAGCATCATGAGTAGGTCTTGCTCCTAAGCATCCATCTAGCAAGTGTGATATGATGCGACAGCAGTGATGACTCCACTTGGGTATGCATAGGAAGATCTGGAGGTTTAAACTAAATTATCTCGCCTCGTTTGGCCTGGATCAGTGAACTAGAAATAATATGGTGTTTCCCTTGCTGAGATTTAAACGTCATGAAGGGAACCTGTCTCTCAGGTTCTGGTTTAGTCTGACAGAGACATGGAAACACAGAAGGACATGAGAATGGAAATGGCTGGAAGAAACAGTATAAATTCACATAGGCAATATGCTAACATGACGCACTTGCAAGACACTGTTAGGCTGAACAAGACAAAGGAGATAAAATTAGCCTTCAAAAGAATGGTTAAGCTATTTATAGGTATGTGAGCATATGTAGGAACCTCCCTGTGAAAAGGCAGGACAGCCTACATGCTTCAGAGGCCAGCTTTCTATAGCATCGGCTATTCAGAATGTACTTCGCTAGCCCAGCAGCTCCCACAGAGCTGTGGGAGTTCTGGGTATGGTTGGTAGCCCCACCCATCCTGATGAGGTTGCTACCGTGTGCGCACAGGGCCTGTAATGGTTGTCATATTAATTACACTGGGTCAGCCATTGCCACTGCAAAACATTGTGGCAGCTCTCCATTCACGTATCAGACCTGCCACAGTGCTATGTTGCAGAACAGTAAAAATGCAGATAAAGTGCTGCCAGTCTTGGAGAAATAAAGCATTGAAAGTAGGTGCCATGCACAAGACAGGCACTCATGAAGTCCAAGCTTCACCCAACAGGCTTTGTGACAACTCTGTGGTTGCTACTTAGCAGGTGGAATGTACTGATACCTCCCAGGACAGTAGCCATGATTATAGGCCCTATTCTCATTCATGATAACTCCAGCAAATGGGTAGACACCTACATCAGTGGTTGTAATGATGCCAAGTGAGAGGAGTTAGTAATGCCAGTTGGTAATGATCTCTCACATGTGTAGTCTTAGACCTGCATAAGGGTTATTGCAGAGCAACAAATACTTGACAGGCATTATCTTTTTTTAAGTAAGGGCTTGATACCTTCTCCTAGCCCACAGCAAATGGGAGCTAATGTGAATTAGCTCAGCACTTGTTGAAACAAAACACCGACAGGAAACATCTATACTCTCAGGCTCCCAGTGAGGAATGGGTGAGTGGTAAGAAGCACTTATGTTCTTACCTGTTGCCACCAGCAGCCCAGGAGCTGTCTCTTTGCTGGAAATGCTTCCTGAAGTATACGGATTCTCTGAGAGTTGCAGATGTAAGTGCAATGAGCAAAAGGGCTGTTGATAAGAAACAAACAAAAGGCAGAAGCCTTAATATGCAACAAGTTAAATATCAGAGGAACCCTTGGCGACTGCACACAGATGCTCTGATCCTTCTGAAAATGACCTCTTTGCTCTTAGCACTGTTACAAATAGCAGCATATGTTCATTTTCTGAATAAACACCATAAAAGTAGCTGAGAGCAAGAGAAGCAGGAACATTGCATTACAAGCAAGCACGTCTGCATTTGTTTTTACCAACAATCTGATCTAGAGCATTTTTTCCCAGAAATTTTCTTATTCTGACTTAAGTTCCATAAAAAAGGTCAAGAAATATGTTCAGAATTCTCTCTCAAAATCTATTAAGCTATAGAAAAAGAAATCTACTTAATTCAATTAACACTCAGCAGGTCAAGAGAAAAAACACAGGGAGAGAAGTTAACGAGTGAAAATTCTGAGAAATACCACTCCTTTGAAATACAGAGGCTACAGCATACTGTAAAGTGGCTGTTTATTGAATGTTGTTGACTTACAGCAGTAAGCCCAACTCAAAGTTCTCCTCTGTTAAATGTGCCCCATTTTGGAGCACCTGGACTTTGCAGTTCTCTGACTGGCAAGAATCTCTCTACCCAGTTTCACTGGATGTTTTGTTAACAGAGTCACTAAAATAAGCAGCTCTGAAGGAGACAATTGTGCTTTGGAAAAGGTCTGCCACTCACCAACTGGCAAACTACAGGATCCCCTTTTAGATCAGTGTCCGGTGCCTGCAGCAAACGCCAGTCTCTGCCCTTGTTGTAGGTAATGAAAGTCTTGATTTGGTCATCTATCTTCCTGTTAGCCAGGAATATGCCTTTGATCCCTGCTACCTAGGAAAAATGGAGAGAGATGAAAAAATCGGAAGAATAGGCCAAAAGTAAGGCCCATCTGAGAAACTTCAGGCATGGAAGGTCTGAAAAGCAATGAAGTAATCTCAATTTAGCATCAGGAGACTGTCAATGGCCTCGGAAGTACATCTTAATGAAGCCTGCACAGCTGAAAGGCCTCGTGCAGTCTTTCTCTCTGGAAGAAAAAGACAAGGATGTTCACAGAGGAAAGCGCTAAGAAACAGCCCAGTCCTGGATTTCCTTGAGTGCTTGCAGACAGACTGATGATGGGCTCAAAGGTACAGCAGGCACTGTGTCACACATGAGCTCTGTGAGCCTGGGGATGTGGCCTGCTCCACTCCCCACCTCCAGATTACCATAACATGGGAGACAGCAGGTCACATCAGAAGCAGACTGGAACCTTTTTGTGCTGGCCATTTTTACTTTTACACAAAAGATGGAAACCCTGAATATGCTGAAACACTGATCTTTTGCAAACTTGATTTCTTCACTTTCCTTCCACTCTTAGATTCTATAAAAATCAACTGAGTTGTTACAAATGTTTTTATTTTTGTCAGTCAAACCCAATCCAGCAGAATATGGTCCTGTCAAAATGTCCCCAAGATTTTGTGTTGAGTCTGGTCTCTGTTGTACAGCTGTGAAAGTGAGACAGGAAGAACAAACTTGCTGCAAATCTGCAACTTCATGGCAACAGCCAGGATGCAAATCTTTCTACTCTAAAGGCCTCTGAGTGACACCACCCTTTGAATGACTCTGAAAATCTCTATCAGCATTTAACAGCAGAGAATCTATGATACACAGTTGGGGAATACAGAATTTGCCAAGGAATGGGAGATAATGCATGTTTGTTTTAGCCAGTTCATCACAATAAAGAAATACACTTGTTTTCAGAGGTCAGAAAATGTATTTAACTAGGTGAAAATAAAATGTAAAGCCTGCCCTTTATACTGATCCATGCAGTATTTTTTAGTTTTCTCACATTGCCTTAAACTACCGGGATTTTTATAAACAAATTGATGTTGTTGTTAAATGGGCACTATTCTGCCTGAAATAAATAAACCTATAATCCTAATTTATATATGTAACTGCAAACACATTTCTCCATGCAGCAGCAGAACTTTCCCAAGTTAGCATGCAACCACTATTTAGTTGTTTGTTGCTGGCAAAACACTGAGCCCTGAACCTCAACAGATCTTCTATCCAGTGAGTTAAGAGACACCAAAACTAGAATGCTCTGAAGAAACCAGGAGCTGGAACAACTGCTCTGAAAGGACTGCTGCTGGCCAAGGCTGAAAGGCCTGGCAGAAGAATGAGAATAGAAGAAGTTATCCAGCTGTTATCTCTGGGCAAATAGCACCTATAAACTTTTGCTTATAATTCATAAACTGTTCAGTACTTACAAAGGTGGAATCCATATTCCCTACTTGTGAGCAGGTGTCTTTAGCTGTTCAAGGGGAAAAACAGTATTTTGAGTCCTTCTCTGAATGTCCACATTAGGATGAGAGGGATAAAGGTTTCCCCTTTTGGAAATGCCACATAGCTAACCAGTCATTGACCTGAAAGCAATCAGTTGTCACACCTATAGCAGAATGCACTGCATCTATTCCCACATGAGTCAGCACAGCATCAAATCCAGTAAATGCCTCTGGGCTGATCCCAAAACAAATGAAGATCTTGGAAGGCTGGTAAGAGATTTACACTCGCTTGAATTAGCAAGCAGTTGCTGTTCTTTGTAGGGTGACCTTTACTGCATACCTCATAAAGGTCAATGATGATATTCCCCTCCAGTCCTCGACTGCTTTTCACATTTTCCAAGGCCAGGGTGAAGTACACCCCTCGGGTGTCTGAGATATACAGGTTGTATGTATCGTTCTGGTTCCACTCTTGAACAGCTGCAAACACCTGATTCTCATCTGTGCTGATAATATGCATGTCCTGTTAAAAGAAGACAAAAGGCCCATTACTGAGGATCTCTATTTCTTTGCCCTTTGGGACATGTAGTAATTACCATGACTTATGAAAGAATGGAGATGGAGCATGAATTATAGGTATGTTAAACAATTTTCTGTTAGAGCAAGCCAATAAATTACCACCATTGTGACTTTTCTGCATTTCATTTTTTTAAAGATCATCAGCTGGGCAAAGGATTTTTGCTTTCTTCATTTTTGGTAGTTTTAAGGAACTTCATACAGTTTCATTTTTTATTTATAAATTTGAAAGTCAATTTTATCACTTGTGGAAGATTCACAACCTTGGAGCCTGGAGTCCTCATAGTCACTAAGCGTGCTGTAACACCAGGCTAAAAGCAGTGACAATTTCCATCCATGCACTGAACTAATAGGCTTGTGTTTCCAAATGGTAAAGAATCAGTTTCAAAAATAACCTAGGAGTATACATTTATTTGAAGCTGAGGATCAGTTTGGGCTAATGCTGGTAGTGATTTTTCTATTGAGTGTTTGTCTGAGTTCTATTATCCCACTATATACAGGCTATCAAATAAACCATCCATTAACCTTTGTTGGATTCTGCTTCTAACCAAGATCTGAAGGTCCAGCAAGGCTTTCCCCATTTAGTTTTAATATCAAAGAGATGTGACAGTGCATTTTTCTCAGTATTCTTTTAAAGTAGGTCCGTGGAAATTATTTTCAGGGTGGTGATGAGTATTGAAGCACTTCATCTTTGGCACCATTGTTGAACAAACTAACATTGGTTCAGGTAGAAGCAAAATCATTGTGGTTATGTGGGAATTAATTTATCTATTTGTATCTATTTAAAATTTCCTCAAGGTGCCAAGGAGCCTTGATTAATTTCTTGCAGTGTTTCTGCATCAAGAAACCATAATTCTGGAAGTCTCCCAACAGACAGAGTGACCTGATTTTTGGGGAAGAATATCTGGGGGAAGATCAGCTCAATTTTCCCTTCCTGCCTAGGAGGCAACTTAATCTTCTGTGTGAGGTATCTGGATGAAAAGTTGGGGTTGATTAGATCAGGTTATTTCTAATAGAACTAACATAGTCTATCAGCATGAGATGGGGAGAAAAAAAACATTAGAGGGTCTATTTCTGTCCCAGTGAGTGCAATCAGTGGGAGATTTGCCATTTCCCTCAATGAAGGAAGACTAAATACGGAAGTTTGTTCTTGCCCAACAGCTCTAATTCCTTAAAGATTAAGTACATATCCAACCTGTTCCAGCAGCGTGAAAATAAAGCAAAACACAACATGACATCAACCTTTTTTTACCAGTTGCAGTGGAAATACTGCATTACCCTATTGCAAACCTCATATATGTACAACTCCAGCAGAGTTCATAAATCTGCAGCTGACAGGATAGTTATTACTGTACAGCAGAAAAGTTCTAGTGACTGAGGGCAGCACAAACAAGCCTCCTTTACATGGCTAGAAGACTTTGCCATAATACCTAGCTTAAAAGTACTTTCGATTTTTAAATGACAAAACTATCCCTGACTTTATACTATGCACCAATTCCAAACCGGGGCCACCAACAAATCTGTCTTGTAACAGGCCAGCAACTTGTGACAGCATCAATCAATAAAGCAGGGCAATCACAGGGCAGTCATTCTCTCCACTCACTTGTCTTTTTAATGAGGGGCAGCTTTCAAGGCCAATCCATAAGGTGGGAGCATAAATAATGTTTTTCTCCTAAAAAAATGGCAGCAGGGTTTCCAGAAGATAGTCTGTGGTCAGACATTCTGAAACCCAGACCACCACCGTGGTATGACAAACAAAAGAAACTGTGTCTGTTCTATACAGGTGTCAATCCACTACGGATTGTGATCAGCTCAAATGGGAAGAAATTGAGGTGCAACACTGCAAATTTGAATGCAAATTTCTCACAACTATTAAGTTTTCAGGTACAAATTAAGGAAAATACGCCATATCTGCTAGACTGCCGATATCTCATAGGCAACCAGAAGGGTAGATCGAGCCCACAAGGCAAATCTAGCCAACTATCTTAGAATTATCCCAACAAAATTTTCACTTGTGGAAGGAAGGGGAAGGTCATTATTGCTGATTATCAGCCATCTATGACAGTAGCCTTAACAGCCATTCTGAGGCTCCAGAGAGCAGCAGTGACCTCAGCTGCCCATTAGGCTACCTAGAAACTTTTATCCAGCCAAGACACTGGAAAGGCTGGTCTCTTCTGTTCTACACAATCACAAGCAATGACTACACTGTGGAATTTGAGTATAATTCCAGGGACATATTCTCCTTGCTGAGGCTTGCACCATTTGATCTGGTAGTAAGCTAAGGTCTAAGAAGGTAAATCCAGGCACAGTTGTATTGAGAAGTACTAATTTTGCTCCCTCCTAGCTTTGCCAGTCAGTGTTAATCTTAGGCCACCTCAGTCATCTCCTAAGCAGCATCACACAGTGGTTCTGTGTGTCCAAAGTATCAATAAGGCACAATTTATGGGCAGCCAACTCCACCTCCATGACTTCTTGGCAATGTCCAGCCATAGGATGAGGATAGTGGAGCTGCTATACCTTGTGCTTCTCTCATTGCATGGACACCACAATAGTGCTCAGCATCCTAACCATTCTCCAGGACCTGCAGTATCATGACCAGGCTTACAGAGACATCATTAATAGAGAACAGAGTAGGACTGGGGAAAGGTGTTCATAGAAGATTGGTCTAGGAGAAGTTGGTTTGAGCTCTGTTTTTTGAGGTACCTGTTCATTCCCATTTGCTCTTTACAGAGGAAAAAATAAACTGTTCTTCCTGAAATGCTCACTAATCAAAGGCACGGAGAGTTGAATATCACAAATCTATATTTCAGAAAGATCATTTAAGTAGCACAACAAATGTAGCTCCCCAGAGAAACCCCATCAAGGTGCTTCACCACTGGGCAGGCTGTGTTATTCAAGATGTTTGTGTTCATAAATGGTATACTCACCTTAGGCAGAGAGTATTTGGGCAATTTAATCTGTGCAAAAGGCTCCCGTCTATATGACACATAGTAATTCGCTCTTCCACCAGCTGTCACCTGTGGAAACACCAAAGAAAGTGAGTGGTGACCCTTCCAAGACACCTTATGCTGACACCTCTAAGAGGGTTTGACAATCTTTCTTTCAGATATCTTTTCTATGACCTGCAGAGCTGTCCCTAAAAGCATCTGTATAACTCCAAAGAAATCCCAGACTTGAGAGGGCTGGAGCGTTATTTAAGCTATGCTGTTGAACTTTCCATTTTGTCTCTCATGCTTCAAATCCAGCATGATTTTAACATCCAAGGAAAAGTGGATAAAAAGTTTAAGGTTGAGTGGAAGAAAGAAGATGATCTGGTTTAATCACATTGTTCTAGTACAACTACCTTGGACAAGTTATTTAAACTCCCTGTGCTTCTGTTCCTTTCCTGTAAGCAGGAGATAGTACCTCTTTTCTCTGCTACTTCTCAGCCTTGTATGTTTGCACTATAAGTCCCTTGGGGCCAGGGTTATCTCCTAACAACTTTCTGCAGTGACTAACAGCAGACATCCACACTAGCATCATTTAATGCAAACAATAAATGCAATAAATGCACTCTTGGAACACTGGAGCTAAGCTCTTAGATGCTCTTTGTCACTATGAAACTGGTTTCTCTGAAATCTTACTGTGTCTGAACGAGGAGTGGGGGCAGCTGGAACAGACAGACAACCAAATCTGCAGTTTTATGGACTGAATGAGTTGTAAAGACTACACATAAATGCCATGCATCGATGAGATCCAGGCTTGATAATTTGTAAAGTATGGGATTTTAAACCTGTCACTAGTCATTTACTCTTGCTGTGAGTGTTCTTTCTGGCACAATTTCAGGCCTGGCGACAGCAAGGCTTACATCAGTGAATTTCCTATATTCTGCTGTTTTGGCAGTCTTGTAGGTTTTAAGATAAAACAATACACAAAGCACTTCTCTATTATATGGAATGTCATTTATTGGTTTCTTAAGTTTCCAATAAAGCTAACAGAAAGGTCCCAGATTCTCTCCTGATATACCTCCTTTTATCTGACAGTAATATTTCAGAATGAGCTTATGTGGAATACTGCTATAGCATCAATTATATTCTCAGCAATGATATCACCTCTAGATAGTGGCTTTCTTCCCTAGAGAAGTTGTAATTCAAAGGACACGATATAACTAGTCATGAAATTTGGTATCTAATCAACTCAAGATAAGTCTTCTCTATTGACAGTTTGAAGAACTGGAAAGAAAGGAAGGTTTAGAAATAGGACAGGCTTCTACACCAAGACTTCAATTTCTGCTTGCTTGCCATTTTTACTTGTAAAGTTATCACAGCCGCATTTAGCACTCCCAAAAGGAAAAAAACAATCACCATTATACCACACACTGTATAAGAAGGCAGATAAATAACCCATATCACAGCAAACAAACTCTATACAGACAACACATAGCTAAAGTCAAGGAGAAACACAGATAGGAGAATCTAAAGTTATTTGTCTGCAGTCTCAAAACAAGGCAGTGGTGGAGACAGGGAGAGATTATGAGTCACTTGACTCTTACATCATGTGAAGCACACTGTGGACTGGCACAGTAGCATTTCCAGGTCCTGCTTCCCAGCTATGAGGGTGGTGAAAGGGCGGTGAGTGTTATTTCCAAAGGATGTCTTTCCCATCTAATATTACCATATCAAAATCAAGTTTTCACACAAGAGAAGAGACTATGCAATTGATTCATGCTCAGACCAACTCAAATGCAAAAAATAATGTCTGTAGTATGATATTATCATAGAATAGTTTGCGTTGGAAGTGACCTATAAAGGTCATCTAGTCCCACCCCCCTGCAATGACCAGGGACATCATCTACTAGATCAGGTTGCTCAGAACTCTGTCCAACCTGACCTTGAATGTTTCCAGGGATGGTACACTTACCACCTCTCTGGGCAACCTGTTCTAGTGTTTCACCAGCAGAAATTGTCTCTATCAGCTGTACAAACATTGCCCAAAGGATCCCACACTTTGAAGTCAAATTATCTAAATAGCATAGGGAATATTTAAGTTATCTTCTCTTGGTGATACTTCTGATCTCCAGTGGAAGATCTAAATTCTCAAATTATATCATTCTGCCACATGAAGTCGTTTTATATCACTCATTTCAGCACCAGCTCATTGTTTGTAGCAGAGTCCAGACGGGACTGAATGTGTCTACTAACTACTTAGTAAGGACCCTGAGTTCAATATCCACCTGTTCTGATGGGCGGAGACATGGTCATTACCTCATCTTTAAGATGCAGACATGAACATTTACATACTTTGCAAATAGTATGATGTCTGTTTAACATTGGGAACAGTCCACAATCTTCAAGTTAACCACATGAACACATAGTAGCAGAAATATCAAAGGGTGATAAAATTCCCTCTCTGTGTCAAGACAGGATGTGTTCCAAGTCTGCCACACACAAAACAGTGTATATAGGTTTTTTGGCTTTCATAGAATAGTTCAGTTGGAAAAGACCATTACGATCATCTAGTCCAACCATAAACCTCTCATTGCCCAATTCACCACTAAACCATGTCCCCAAGTACCACATCTACACATCCTTTAAATACCTCCGGGGATAGTGACTTCACCACTTCCCTGGGCAGCCCGTTCCAATGCTTGATAACCCTTTCAGTAAATAAATTTTCCTAATATCCAAGCTAAACCTCACCTGGTGCAATTTAAGGCCATTCCCTCTTGTCCTATCACTTGTTACTTGAGAGAAGAGACCAACACCCACCTCACTACAACCTCCTTTCAGGAAGTTGTAGAGAGCAATAAGGTCTCCCCTCAGCCTTCTTTTCTCCAGACTAAACAATCCCAGTTCCCTCAGCCGCTCCTCATAAGACTTGTTCTCCTGGCCCTTCACCAGCTTCGTTTCTTTGCACATGCTCCAGCAACTCAACATCCTTGTAGTGAGGGGCCCAAAAC